AAAACTAGTATCTACTAGAGATATAATATATATTGAGAAATTTTTAAATAGTAATTAAGGCTATATTATAGTCTATTAATAATTCTAAGGAGTAATAATAAGTTCCTATATATCTTAAGTGGAGATAGAATTCTTATTTAGGAGAATATATATTAAGTATATGCTTAAATAAAGAATAAGATAATTATTATATTAGGAGTAATAGGGATAAAAACTAAGGAATTTTAATAGTATTTTATAGGTATAATTTTTTACAAATATATATTGTTTAATACTTTTGTAGATATATATAATATGAATAATTATATAAAAACTTTATTTTATTTAATTAGTATTTATATAAATATTCAGAAGAGTATAATTATAAATAAAAGTTGGTATTTTTAAAATAATAAAAACTTATTTAGCTACTTTTAGTATTAATAATAGATTAAACTGTTTTTTTTAAAAATTAATTTAAACTCAAATAGCTTTTAGGCTAAGGTTTTTTTTAAAAAAGATAAAAAACTTTATATAATTTGGTATATAATAATATATATCTTACATACTAAACCCTAATAAATAAGGAAATATTATTTATTTAAGTTTTTTTATTAATAATTTTATAACAACCTAAAACCTGTTTTACCTATAATACTATACCTTTTAGGGTTTAATATATAAAATACATATTATTTTATATTAAATTAAGTAAAGCTTTTTTTAATTATATTTATTTTTTAAAAAAGCCCTAGGCCTAAAAACTATTTAAAAAATAATTTTTAAAGAACCTAAAAAAACTAAAAATATAATTTATAATTAATACTAGCTATATATTTTAATATAAATTATATTAATCTTAGCTATAAAATAACTTAATATAATTTCTTATTTTATTTAGGTTAATTATTTTTAATTACTAGTTATATAAAGTTAAATTAATCGTATATGTTTTTTATTAAATTTTAATTTTTTAATTTTATATTATTGGTAATAGTTTAAAATTAATGAATTATTAATATAAATAGTTACATATATGTTATAATCAAAAGTACTTAAATTTATAAAAACTAGTTTAAAGCTTTATATTTTTATAAAATATTTAATATAAAATATTAAATCTTTAATAATTGTTTTAGCCTAGAATATAATAAATTATATAACTTTTTTCATTTTATTAATTAGGTAGAATTTGTTTATTTTAATTAGTACTTTTTTATTATTTCATTAATTATTTAAAATTACAATAAATAATATACTTATTATATATACGGCCAAAAAAAAAACTCTCGCGCTCCCAACACGCCCCCCAATTTGGGGGTATTCGAACTCGATTTTGACACCAATTTGTTCTACTCATCAAACTTAATAACATACTCGATTTTTATTTCAAATTACCCCTTTGTTGTCGGTTGGGAAGACCCCAAAACCCCCTGTGAGCCGGCAAAGAAAATTTTTGTTTTCCCTCCTGCTACGGGAGCCCAGTCAAACAACCTGCGCAAGGGGTGGAAGCCACGCCATAGACCTTCCAGCCGCACCACGCCACACTGGTCCCTGCACAATAGTTTTATAGTGAAAAATATAGCACTATAGAGTTATATATAGTTGACTAGAACTTCTAGTCATTATATATAATTCCTATAACTATATTTG